AAATATATAAAATAAAAAATACATTTCTCCTTCGACCGGATGATATATGGATAGGGCACTTGAACGCAGGCCTCTCCTGGTGACCTCTTCCGGTTTCCAGTCAGCCAGTCCCCCTGCCTGCCGCCCTCTCCTTTTCGTCATTTTCATCCTTTGGCATTGTTGGGGCGTTGGCAGCTTGTGTTTTATATACCTTTGCGAGAGCGAGAGGCCAAAGGCACAGGCAATATATAAAACACAATTTATTCTCTGTTTTATTTTCCTAGCAGTTGTTCTCTGTTCTCAGTTGATTTTTACACTATTTTTCTTGTACGAAAACTTTAACCCCATCGCAAGCTCCTCCTTCTCCTTCGGTTTTGCGTAAACAATACTACTTCAAGGTTCTTGGAATGGGGTTCTCTGGGTTGGCTGAGTTGGGTCTGCGTGCTATTGAAAATGTCGGGGGTCAAGCGTTGTCAACTTTTATGATATGTTGAAAATGCATTGACAATGCTGGCGAACAATGTATCGCATGTTTGTGATAAAGCTGAAGAAAGCAGAGGTATTGAATGGGAGACGGGATCCGCAAGATAAGAAATTGAAAATTGTTTTTCTGTTGTGGTTTATTGAAATTGGAAAGCTAGAAAGCTGTCTGAATCGAATGGATTTATATTTAATTATTACCACTCCTTCGGGAACAAGACTAAATAGCTGGACTCTTGAAATTTAAATTCCTTTGTTTAATGGCGGTAAAAGTATCACCTTTCACAATCCATTATGTACAATGAACTCAAACCCTGTCAGAAATTTGGCTACTTTACAAAGTTCAACATGATGTCCGATTCTTTTGTGTTTGTTTCTTTCGCCTGACTGCATTTCAATTTTAGAGATTGCAACTGTTTTTCTGTGTGCGTCACATTTAAAGTGCCTTGCCCTCTGGCATGCGGCATGCACAATTCTCCATCATAACTGTCAAAAACCGACAGAAACTCATTCCAAATCCACACATATATGGAGCGACACAATTGCAAAACATAAACAGAAAAGTTGTAATCACAGCTGTCCGGAGCGAGAGAAAACCATGCCAGATATGATGGACCATGAGGGATCTGTGTCTCTTAATGGGGATAAATGGGGAGGGCAACATGTGGGTTCTGCGAGCGATAATCATAATCAGCAGCAAACTGTTGTTGCAACTGTCACTGCGTTGCACACGCACAGCACTCGCATTTTATTTATATTTTCCGGCCAAGCAGCCGTTGCCCCAGCAACTCTTCGTCATCGTCATCATCATTGTCATCCTCATATGGGTTTGCCGCAGATCTCCATCTGTTTTGAGGTTCCTGACGAGGAAACCGCAGCGGCGACACTCATTCGTTTTAATTGTTATCACTAAAATGTCAACTTTAATGCTTCCGCTTAGAAGAGCTGACCAGAAAAACTCGGTTTAGAGAAATGCCACAGAAAATAGAAGTTATCAATATCTTAAATTAATTTAAATCAATTTGAAGTTACTTATCTTAAATAAAATATATTAAGAGTTGTATTATCTAAGCTCCCATTCTATTAATATTTGTTTTTCCATTTCAAACAGATCCCTTGTTGACAATATAGAGTACGCACTGTGTATAAGCTTATAAGTGTGACACAGAATGTGTAATTTGCACTTAATTGTCACAAATAAGCGAAAGGAATTTGTAATTTGTATTTTTACAATGCACAATCCTCAGTGGATGCAACCCACTCCTCTTAGTTTTCCCCTTTGGGGTGTGATTAGCTTAGTTTCCATTACGAGGAGAGGCTTGGCCCAATTTTCTCTGCCATTTAATTAGCATTTTGTAATACATTTGTCGTAATGCCCTCGAGTATTTCATTTTCCCCGCACACATCTTCATGTTCTGCTGTTCGGGGGAACTTTTCATTTTAATTAAATTGCTTGATTGTCCAGCGGTTTGTCGGATGATTACATGGATTGCATCTGCTGGTGGAAAAGTCGGCTGCGAGGCGGTTCGACTTTAATGCAAATTAAGTCAATTGGGGCGATAGATACATTTGCCAACAACACACGCACAACAAGTAAAAGAGTTGATGTCATCCAGATGCACTTTAAATAAATTGATGTTATACTTTTTAACCCAGAATAGTTTGAATTAATTCTGAGCTAACTTTGCTATTAACCACTCATTTTAACAACTCTTTATAGTTTACTTTAAGTATCCTTGATTATTGGCTAAAAATACTTGGGAATTGTGGGTGCGGCATGACAACACATTTTCGCACCATACGGTCCGCTTTAGTGGGTGTCGACTGCTCGCTTCTCCACCTTTTTGCCGTAAACTGCAAATGTGTTTATCGTCAGCACTTAACCCATTTAAGCCAGGTCCTGTGGGGTTCCCCACCCTGACCCTGGACCACACCCATCAAATGGAGAAAAGTGCTAAAGTTCGCCCTGTGGATTCTCCCGGGAATTGATGAACATGCGAGTGGAATACATATGCGATATGCGATATGCTTGGCTTTGCTTATATCTAACAAATGACTGTCCCATTGAGTGGATGATGACGGGGCAGAAGTTCACCCTCCTGCAGCCATATTTAATTGCCGCAAATTAATTAAATTAATGAATTGTTTGGAGAGAAGATTTCCAGTCATTTGTCTAAAAATTAGCCAAGCCAAAAGAGTTTTCCTGTTCACTCCATGACACATGGTTTTCCTTGCAGTTTCTGCTAATGATGTATAAATGTTTATTTTCACCACGTTCCGAAAATGTTTTCGCAGCTGAATGGGAAAATTAATTTTTTTCCTTTGTTATTATTATGAGGCATATGCGAAGGGAAATATTAAACTTTTATTAGGCTTATAAATTTCATGTTGATTTCAGTGTTAAATTGAAAGGGAGGGAATGGGAAAGGGAAGAGGTTTGCCGGCCAGATATCAACATTTTACTCGCACTTTTCGTTGTGGTGCCATTTTTATGTCGCATTCAGTAAAACCAAAAAGGAAATGGAACATTTTGCCTCATTGTGTGTGTTTGTGGGCAGATAAAGTTGTCATTTCGGACAGACGGATCGGATATTGTAGAATATTGGTCATTCTGACGGCTCTGTTGTCCATTATTTCGAGAAAATCAATTACGCCAATGGCAAATAAAAGTGTTTGCAAAAAAATCATCGTAAAAGCGTGTTTATTGTTAGGGATTTAAGTGAGGGAACAAATTAACGACGCAGTTATTTATTGCTAACTGAATTAATGTTTATACCAAACATTATGGCTGAAGATACATTAGTGTAACAAAATTTTATTAAAATATATAAAAAATGTAACTTTCTAAATAAAATAGCAAGCAGAAAAGTATTTAAAAATAAATATTTTTTTATATTTGAAATGTTCTTTAACTTTTCTTGTTCAATTATACAAATTTGTCGTTTAAAAACCTCTTCACTTTGTTCCAACGTATTTATGCCATGACTTTTTGACGATATATTCTTGGTCGTATAACAAAGCCATTGATCATTTCGCAGGCTCAAGGCAAACGACTTTAATCGCAAATACATTTATATATTATGACATCAGCCCGAGACCCACGCCCCATAAATCTCGTGGAGGGTTGGGAGGAAAACCGGAGAAATCTGCCCCACTTGTTGCCGCCCCTCTCCGCCATTCTCAATGCCATCTGTTGGGAGTAATAAACATGGCGCCTCGTCTTCCAGCCCCTCCCCCTTTTATCCTCGAATTCCACAAACCCCAAAAAAGCAGGGGAAGACATTCGCTGTCGTCTCGGCTAAACAATAAATGTCATATGGTTGGCACATCAACACTTTATGTGCTTCACTGGCCCCCAAAAATGTCCTGCAAACATCCTTGCTTATATTTTCTGGCATGGGACAAGCAAATGAAAATCTTTACACGCTTTTAATTTCGTTGCTCCCCAAAGTATGCAGAAAATGTTTTTACATCACACTTTCATTCATTTTAACTGTTCCTCACATTTTTATAGCCTAAATTAAATAAAAATGCGACTAGCAGAAAATTGAGAATGTGAAATTGCAGAAAAGGTCAGATGGAATGGCTTAGACTTGGCGTCTATTCTTCGAAACACCCACATATCAAACATTATTTAGAGACAGAGAAACTGACACTCTCTTGGATTCGTTCCATATGGTGCATATATCTGTTTTGTATATTTGACTTATTTTTTTTTTTTTTTTGTATGAGTGTACATTTTGCGTTGTTAAAGAATTTAGAGCATATATTATTTGACATTTATTAATTCAAAATTTGTTTGTCTAGACTCTAGAGTAATAAGTATATTCAGTTCGTTTACTGCTTTCTTAGATAATTTCTTATAATTTCCCTTGAATGACTAAGAAGCAAAGGTCGCCTTACTCTTCTCCTTTACGTTCTGCCCTTCTAGTTTATGACTTCAATTTGGCCAAATGAGTCGTTAATTTTGACTTTTCATGGCCAAACCCTCGCCCTTTCAACTTTGCCCAGAGGCAGAGTTAGTTTTCTATTTGGGCCCACTTTTATTGTAATTTTGTGGCCTTTAATTGAATTTTATTAGCATTTGTACTTATTATTTGCTCAGCTCGACTCCCCTTCATTCCCCAAACTGGCCATTTAATTGTGCAGTTTATTTGCTGGCTTCGGAAACGGAAGAGGGCAGGATGGTGGATAGGTTTCTGGTTTCTGTTTACGGGGTAGTTTCTCCGGCACTCATTGGGCTTTCCCCCGTAGTTCGTTTCCATTACGGTTTGTGTGCGCATCTAATAAAAGTTGGTTTTTCTCAGAAATTCAGCCGAGCAGGAACCAAAGAAGCCTTTCAAAAGAGGTCCCAGCTAAATATATATATTTCTAATATTAAATTTGTGTAGCTCCAACGGAAATAGATTTTTGCGATAATATATTATTAATTACTCATTAAATATATTTTAATTTAATTCGATATATTTTATTAAGTGTTCTTTTCATTTTTTTCATTACAGGTAAGGGCTTGAAAACCACTTGATTGTTCTTTACAATTGTTACGGGGTAAGAAATGTACTCTATTCCAAATAAGTGGAATAAATAATAGATTTATAATCTATTTATCAAATTTTATTGTAAAGAGTTAGTGTGCTTATTTACATAAACTAGGAAAACCCTCAGTATTAGATTAAGTTCGATATCTTTTGGTTCGAACGTGATTTTTGCGTTTCTTACGCGTGATTAACTTGACGTACCTCACTTTACTTCGTCCTTTGGATCTAACTGGTCTTGCTTTAGGCCCTTTTGACGAACTGGTAAATGAGCTTGTTGTGGGTCTCGACCAACTGTTGGTCATTGTGGGTCGGGTGGAAGAAGGCTGCCAGGGCTGGGAAAACACTTCATTTGAGTTTCCATAGGGTTCGTAGTTTCCTCCCGAACCATAACTAGATGCTGAGTTGTAGGTATCCTCTAGAAAATCCTCCATTGTTGGTAGGGATGAGGATATACTATTATCCTGACCGCTGAAAGCCACAGCACTGTCATAACCCCCGGCGTGATCCTGATCCACTTCCTCGGATCCTGAGGGATGGTAACCACTGTATCTGTTGGGGGTACTCATCTCCATCACTTCATCGTAATCTTCACCGTGCGGTTGTTCATCCTGATAGTCTTCGAAGGTCTCCGACAAGTCCTCATCTTGATAGTAATTTGGTTTACTCCTGTAGTAATTTGAATACTCCTTGTTTGGGTTTCTGGATTTCTTGCGCTTGCGACGTCCTCCGAATTTGGATAGATATTCCCGTTGCAGAGCCTCAAGGAAATTGTTATTCAGCAAGGAGTTACTCTCCAATTGATTATCCTCCGCGGATGTATCTTCATCTTCGGCTTTATGCGGGGTAAAGATTTGTTGCAGCAATTGTTGCTGCTTGGAGGCTTTAAAAATCTGAGGTCTCATTGTCGTCGTGGTGGTTGTGGCACTCAAAGCCGACTCCTGGTTGTAATTATCGAATAAAGCTGGTCCATAGTTAGGCGCTATATTGGTGGGCGTTGGCATGAGAGTGGGCGTGGCTGCCGTGCCCATCAGCTGCATCAGATTGGGAGCCATTGGTCCCGAATTTCCAACTGATGTTGTGTAGCCCAAAAGTTGAACATGAGCTTTTCCCGGGAACTGCGGATGCATCGTGGCGATCGGAGTGGGTGGAAGTGCCGGGATCGGGTGGATTTTCCGCGGTAACTTGTAGACATTGTGGAAATGCGTGTGCTGACGCACCACCTCCGGCATATGAAGTCGAATGTGAACGCTGAAAAGGATACAAGATACATTTCTCAATTAAATAAGATACCTTCTGCCAACTCTTACCGCTCGCCACTGCTTCCGCCTGGAAGAGCCTGGCATCCCTCGAAGCTCAAAAGCAGCAGGCTCCATGTGCCCCAAATGGTGGCCAGCCAGAGAAAGGTGGACGAGTGCTGCTGATTCAGGATATCCAGATCCATGGCTCCATAACTTATGTGTGCGCTGGCTGTCGTCCGACTTGTGACGCACACCTCTAGTCGGTCGCCCACTTTTATTGCCTTGCAGCCGGAGCAGATTCAATTTCATCGCCATCGGATGAGATGCTCACTGAACGGGAAAGATGCGTGAATCTCGATGGGTGGAGGAGGTGCGAGGAATGAGGATTTTCTGCAACTGTGCAACTGCACCTCAACCTCACGTTTCCAATTGCGATTTTCATTTTCTGACCGGCCTGTGGCAGCTTCCAATTTGTGGTGCCGACTCCCTCTGACTTCCTTCGATACCTCATCTCTTGGCTCTCTTTGAAATTCGATAGGTTTGAAAGTCGAGCGTCGGAAAAAGCAGCAGACACACAGTATTTGCGGATTTTCATGGAAAGCCAAAGTCAAGTTTGGCTGGAGAGCGGCGCATGCGTAACGTTTTCAATTTCAATTTACATCTGTTTGTTTTTGTTTACGCACTTTGCAATTCGTACAATTTGTACAACTTACTTTTTGTGCGTTTGTCCACCTTTTAAGAAGCCGGAAAAATGTTAAAAAAGCGAAAAGAATTTAAGAAAGGAAGGAACTAGAAAGTGTCGAATTATAAGCTAAAAAGTAAAGAATATTGTTTGGGTTTTTTATATCTTTTCTTCATAACTAGTCCCCCTAAAGTTTGAAGCATATCTTAAAATTTTTAAAGGTTCACTACTATCTCCCAAGATAGTTTTTTTCCGCGACTTTAACGACTTCTGCTTGAAGTCCTTGAATTGAATCTTAAGCAACCCACGCTCCCCTTTTATGGCTCTTATACTCAAGCTTTATCACATCTTTCTGGCTTTTGTTTTCTTTGAGCTGGCTGGGGGAAAGTCTTACTTAACCTTGGTTAAGTGCCAAAAATACTTGGTAAGCTAAACGCAGCTAAACAGAAAATGCAGCCAAGTAACTTCCAAGCCACTAACTGCAGATGAAAAGTGAGGGAAATCCGAGGAGGGGGAAAATGATGTGTCCTTTCCTTCTGGTTCTGTTTGGATGGCTTTCTTCCCGCACACACAAACGAACGCATTTTGGCAGCCAGAGCGAGGAGTCAATGAAAGTGTTTTCGTTCAAGGATAACCACAAACTTTTCCCAGCGAAATGGTCTTAAGCTGCTTAGCTGAATTTAACATTTAAGATCGCAACCAAAGGCAAAGTGAAAGGTTAGGTTCTACAGGTCGTCTAGCCGCAGTCTGTCCAAAGTTTATTGCTCCGCGCTTATTGGTTAGGTAAACTTATAGCAAAAAAAAAAAAAAAAAACCTGGCCAAAAGGAGAGGTAGAAAAATAATAAGCGTTCAATGGCTTTTTGCACTTACATCATCCATAATAGTTGGCGGCATTCGGGTAATCATCTCTCGCAATGATGATGATAATGACGATAATGCGTGAAAAAGGCAGCCACAAGTAGAGGGAAAATAAGCACAGCATCTGTCGGTGGTAAGAACCTAACAGCCAACAACAAAAGTAACAATCATCCACCGTTAAATCCAAGCAGCTTAGAGTATGAAGAAAAAATATGAAGTGAAAACGAGAGAGTGGCTAAAAAATATTAGGTGTATGGTATACAGAACATAAAAAAGGAGCATGGGAATTTAGAACTAAATAAAAAAGTTATACTGTAATGCTATGATATTGTTATGCACCTTCTTTATTTAAATTTTTGCAAGAAAAACTACAAATATTTTATCTATTCGAACATGCCCATCAGTTAGTGTAAGAAGGCGAAAATGTTAGCAAGTGAGAAGAACAGCGAAAAGATTAACAAGTCATGATTATTAGTTTGAAGAGAGCAATATAAGAGGGTCTGCGGTAAATCACAGGAAATAGGAGGCGGCAAAAGAATCTACTCCTGTCCGAGAAGAATGCCTTTGGATGGGGGAATGATTTTCAGCTTCTCGCCAATCTATGGTTTGGTTGCAAGCATTACGTGGAAAGTGTGTGCTGCGGCTTTTGGCTGACCTTTTTTAAGTGGTTTCTGTCTTGGCCAAAGTTTTCCGGCATACGATAGTGGATATTTTTCCTCGCAGCCATTAACAAGTATGTGTGGCCATAGCTGTTGTTGTTGTTGTTGTTACCAGCAACATCACGAAGTGCAACTTGTGACCTCAAAGTTTTATTTTTGCACCGGAAAAGCCAGATTTACCAGTAGCTTGCTGCAACATGCTGCCAATGGGGTATGAACAAAGTGAGATGTAGATCAGGCCAACTGGTTTCCCCAACTAAGGCTTCCTTATTTCTTCTTCAAATGCTGCTTGCAATTATGTCTGCGTTCTAATTTATAATTTAAGTCTGGTCTTGATTAAAGTGGCTCTTATATGTGTATTGATTACAGTTAAATGTTCCATTTCAGTGGAGTATAGCTTTAATGTAGGGTTTTCTTTTAATCTTCATTTGCGGCTTTTATTATTACCAATAAATCAGGCTTTGCAACATGTTGCAAGCCCGACCTTGGCCTTAACTTTGAGCCAAGTTTGTCAACATGTTGGGAGTACGAGAGCAACCAGTTTGCATTGTTTGTAAATGAGCATGCTTAATGAGCGATGTTTTGCTTTTGAAGCCCAATTACCAAAATGGTTTGTGTCTCGGCTTTAAGCCTGGGTCAATGTCTTGCTTTTGACCATTGTTACCGCTGTCCATCTCTTTCGCTGCTGTTACGCACTTTGCGTTTAAGTTTAATTGTTGTTTATGCGAACATTTGCTTCACCATTACTTTAAATTCCATCATCAGTGGGTCTCAGTTTTCCACTTGGGTCAACGTCCACCTCGATCGGTTGTCTTTTCTTTTGGTTTTCATTCCCTTTTCCGCTTACCTTTTCATTCACTTTTTATAGCAATTTGTAGACCGCGGTGTCGATTGGCGTTGACCATTCTTAGGAATCACAGAGTTATAAAATGATGATGTCACGTTTGTGGTGTTAACCCGGTCCGTTTTTCCTCTCTTCCTCTTTTCACCTCGTATATCATATCCGGCTTTATTGTTCAGCAAGTTCTACTCACTCAGCTTTTTTGTACTTTCGTCTACATTCTGAATTCGTCACGGGCCAATTATGTACAGAGGGTCTGCCACAAACAAAGAACAAAGTGTTGGACATTGAATAATTTATATTTACATTGAATATCAAACTATTTTTTATAGAAAAGAATACCTTATTATTTGGCATGGTATTCCAATTAAATAAAGAACGCAATGCAATTTCAACTGTGCAGTGCAGTGCTTGTGCAACTGTGGTTATTACACCGAGCAATTTGCTATCCATCTCATTACCCGCAAAAGTTCCGAAAACAATTTGCATAGTTTTGCAAGTGAACTGGAAAAACTTGCTTCGCCAAGAATAAGAAGTTGAAAATGGAAATGGGTGTAAAGGAGAGGGAAAAGCGAGAACGGGGAAAAGAAAAATAGAACAAAAACTTTTGCCACAGCCATTTGAATAATTACAATCGATGGCAATAAATTGAAGCGATCGCTGGGATTACTTTGATGATACACTAACAAGAATAAAGTGCCGGGAGTTTCAACCATTAAGCGTAATTGGTTTTGGAAGGGTAATTTCTTTATGCTTAAGATGAACAAAGACTTGTTAAATCATAAAAGAGCTCGGTTAGCGAACCAACTAACTATTAACAGTTCCTTGGTGAAACAATAAAGTTACATTTTTTTTTAGTATTATTCTTTATTTGACTATCAACTTGAAGTATCTTCAGTTCGTTAGCTGCATCGTGAGCCTTTCTGTTTGCAGTTTTTTCTTCGTGCAGCATCAATATCTCAAAACTCGAGCTGTGTAAACTGGCCTAGAACAACGATGCCAACACACACTTGAATGGCCAGAAGATACCGCCGTGAACGTTATAGCCCCCTTTCCTTTTGGTCTCGGCTTTCAACTGGTTGGGAACTCCAAGCCCCCCGCTTCCCCCCTTTCTCCACTTTTGTCTGGCTGAACATCTGGGCCTTCTGGCTGTGGCTTCCTGGTTGGGGCTCACTTATTTTTCCTTTTTTCGGCTCCGCCGAGATTTGCAATGGCAGAAAACATGCAAAGACATTATCTTCATGTGTCTGTCTGCAGCTTTTTCCACTGCCTCGTTCTTTTGCTGATGCTGCTGCTGCTGCTGCTGCAATTTTTGTCCAAGCTGTAAATGTCAGTAAAAAGAAGTAAGAAGATCTGGTTTTTCCTCTCCCAGCACGGATTTTCTTTGGTTTTCCTCGCCTGTTTTTAGGTCAATGGCCAATGTCTTTTATTGGCAACTTTCTAAGCCAACTTTCCACGGTCTAAAAAGCGTCGAGAATGTGCAACAAGTAGTCAACTTACTTCCACGATAATTACCATACTAATTTGATTTTATCTGATTTGTTTTTTTTAGGGTGCAAGTTCATTGAACGAATCGAATCGGCTTCCTCTCATTATTCCTTCTGTTTTTCTTAATGATTGTCCGAGAGTTGATTTGATTCGATCCGGGATGGTTCGTGCCACTAATGTGTATTTGATTAATTAAATTAATCAACTGCTCGATCTACGAGAATCGATAGTGGAAAAGAACAGCGCATAACTAAATCTATAAATAACATTGATGAGGGTCCTCCTTAGGGGTCCACTTGCTTTCTGCACTGTCTGTGCTAAACTGTTAACACCAACAAAATGTTTTGTTTTCATTATGGGAACAAGTTTGGCATTAATATTTATTTGATGAGTTTCTTGACTGGATTACGTCAGCGGTATCATAGGTTATAGTTTTGTGAAAATGCTAGAATAAAAGTCATAAATCGACGATGATATGATTGTGTGATTAAATCAAATCATTGTTGGTTAAAGAAGTTTAATGGAGAAAGATATTTTCATATAGATAACGTTGTGATCAGATCCAATTAATTATAAACGTATGGCGAGGAAAATTAACTTCATTCTAGTTCTTCTTTAAGTGGGATTTCTAATACCCATGCTCCATGTGAATTCTCTCCAGGCAACAAATCCAATTCCTTACATTTTTTGGAGCTCCCCCACAAGTTGAGCAAATTGCACGCCTTTTCAACATTAATTAGAAATGTTTACTAATCTAAACTGAAACTATCATGGACCAACATCCACAGCAATGTAACCGGAAAAAGGAGAAACGCAAAAAGAAAACTAAGGTCAACACCAAAGCCGAAAACCGACACTGAATTTGGACTGACTCCTGAACTAAAAGCGCCACAGTGACTCCCAAACTGTCGGCTTCTATTTTCGTCTGCCGCCCACTAAAATACTCACACACCCGCACAACCACGCAGGCATTGACACACTGAAACCGACACACAGTGGATAACAATTTGTAAAAACAACACTCGAGTTGAACTTTAAGTAAACATGGAACGAAAAGTACATAAATGAGTTTGCTAAAAACTCGGCTCGAAAAAGTTGTCCTCTATCTCGCTTGCAGAAAAAAGAAATACCAGAAGCTGGTGGGAAAGGTATAATAATAGAAGATATTTCTAATACTCTTTTTTTGGTTAGCACATATTTAAATTATAAAAGAAATCATTAAATCCTTAAAATATAAGTAAGGGACTACTTATTTTTTTCTTTTTCATTCTTTTTCAAACAAGGTGAATATAAAGATTTTTTGTTCCGATTAAAGGGCATAAAAAATAAACTAATGTAGTCGACGGAGCGATAAAAGTTTGTCTCGGTGTGAATGACACGGCGATGGTTGAATACTCATGCCGGAGTGTGTGTTACTTTTTTGTTGTGACTGTTTGGGTGTTTGGGTGTTCCTTTTCCACCGTGTCCACATTGTTCTCACACTTTTCAGAGTGGACACAGCGAAAGAACCACGATGGCATCAAAAGGGGTTTGGTAGGGGATAGATTGTGCTTTTATGCTGTGACACTTTTGTGGACTCACTCCGACCTCAGTGCCCCCGCCTCCTCCCTATTTTTTTTTTCTTTTTTTTTTTGCCACAGCAGCGCACCTAACCACACTCATGATATCAAAAAACTTTGCCGACATGGAGAAGAAGCAGAACAAGCCGAAGCTGTAGATGAAGAAGAAGACCCGATGATAGCACTGATGTGTGAAAAAGGGCGGGCCGCCGGTTGGATTAAGGGGCGGGGTTAGATGGATGGGTATATAGAGATGGAGTTGACAACTCTGGTTTGTTTGCCTCGCCGCCTCGGGGCGATTCCAATTAATGTCTGAAGCTTTTTCACGCCGCCACTTTGATTGATGCACACAGTAATTATAAATATTTTAAAGAAACATTCTATATAATATCTTGAAAGTCGCAAATTAAAAAATTATAAAGTGTTAATGAGTAAATCAAGACAGTTAATATAAAGATACTTTCAAAACCAATCTAAAGCAAATAAACATAATAATGATAATACGAAATGCAAATATTTATTTCTCCGTTTGATAATTTATAGTCCAAGTAACTTTTGATCGTTTTAATATATAACACTACTATTTTTCGTATCTGAGTGATCTTTAAAACCTCAAGCCCGCCTCATCTGCCTGATTTCAAACATCATTAGGAGGCAGAGAAAATGCGCAGTGTTTCGCGCATTATGATATCGCTGGGAAGTCATCTAATGTGACTTTTTCCCCCACGTTGGCGCGAAACGAACTGGAAAATCTGCAATGACGAGGCGACGACGGCGACAATTTGATTTCAGGGTAGCGACGACAGCTTTTCACGGCCTTAATGGGTTAACATTAGGCGACTTGTCGGCGCAGATTTGCATGCAAATTGTTAACTCATTTTGCACGTGTCTGCGCCCCATTGCGAGTGTTTGTCTTGGCTTTAATCATGTCGCTGTCTATTAGGGTAACATGAGGGAATGTGGCTGCAATTTGGTACCAAATTAAAGCAATCAGCCAACTATAGAAATGAGCCACAAAAAAAAAAAAAAAAATAGGGCTAATGCGAGGCAAAATAATAGGGGGTCCCATTTGGATTTGTTTCTAGATTAATTAAAGCTTATTTGCGTGCAGAAATAATGTTGAGGGAATAAAAACTTCCCCTAATTGTGGACTTCGATAAAATGCAACCCTCGTCACATCGAATTTTAAATTAAATTTTCTGGGTTCCCCCTGTAAATGAACTGTAAATCGAATTTAATGCTTTGCAATTTCGCTTTGCCGTGTTTTCGGATTTTGTTTTTCGTTTTGCCAAATCATATCAGAATCAATTATAAAACTATTAAGGGTGGACCCTGCGATGCCCCGCCCCAATGCAATCCAGTCAGTCACACGCACCGGGCGGCCTTCACCACCGATTTGCCGCATTTTTCCACCCACAAACCCCACCCAACCTCCAACCTTCAACCCCAAACCAACCCCACCCACGGATCATACCGCCCAGCTGGACTGCTGGCCATTAAGCTTGTCATCAAACGTTACAAATTAATTACATTCGCAGCGAGAGAGAGCTCCCAGCCAAAGGGAAACGTTTGCCGCTTCTCATTTCTCATTTTAGTTCAGTTGAGTTGAGTTCAGTTCAGTTCCCCTTTTAGCCGGTTCCCATTGCTCTCGTTGTGTACGCTCCATTAAAACTAAAAAATGCAATTACATATAACGCCTGCGGGGCCTGAGCAACCGTAATAGGAATGGCGAGAGCACCAGAAAAACCAGCAGGAGCACAGTAACAGGACCAAGGAGCATCCGAAGGATGCTGGCGATGAGTTGATGGAACAACGTTAGCCAAGCGCTCATGGCCATGTCCGTGTCCTTCAGATGATGATTCCCTGTGTCTGCTCTGCACAGAGGAAAAGTGTCATCAACATTTAAAAAAGTATATCATAATATTATATGGTATTTAACATGGGAAAGATCAAAACTTTTATATTAAAGTACTTTTTATTCTCTTCGTTGTTTGAGATCAATTCAAATACAATTCAATTTCCAACTGCAGAACTTTGCAGGATTTTTGCTGTCTGTATGCTCTTTATTCCCAACTTGTTATTGGCATTGAGTGGACTGAGTTGTTTCTGCACAATTTTAATTGCATTTGTCAGTTGTTAGTTAGTAGTTAAGTAAAAATATTAATGCACTTTGTGGCCAGGAAATGAAAACCTTATCAGCTCTTTCAGCTGAAAGCATTGCCTTTGCAAAAAAAAGTTTATAGAACTAAAGCTAAAGGAAAATGGTATATCAGAATTTATGAAACCCACATCGTATAACTTAGTTTAGAAAATTTATTTTGTGGGATTCCTCAGTATTTTCTGGTTTAAATTTTATCAAGCCATCTGACGGATGGAAATCAAACAAAATGCTCATTTTTCTGTGGTTCTGCAGGGGATTCCTTAAATTGAATGAAAATAACTGGCAC